CCCCAAAACCCCAAAACCCCAAAACCCCAAAACCCCAAAACCCCAGTTAGGAGTTATGGTTGAAGTTCATTTATCCACCCTAGCTATTAAAAATCCTCTTCTGCTTGTTCTTCTGCGATACCATTTCATCATAAGCCTGGCTGTCAGGGGAGATGGCTAAGCTATACAGGTTATCAGGTAATTACAATCTTGGCTTCTTTTGAGACCCTGGTGCATTAACCGACTCTCTCAGATTGAGAGACTCAGAAAGATCTGGCACTCAAGACTCTGATGTTGAAATCACTGTCATGGGAGCAGCATATTTCAGGCGCTTATTGTCAACTAATTTCGCTATAAATCCTAAAACTTGGAAGTTACTAGAAAAGTGGTTGGCTAGCTTATTTTTAAACTGCTCCGGCTTCAAGGGCAAATCTATATGTCAGTTTGCAGCCCTTACCTTGGTTTAGGAATTCATGAAATTGGTTGTTGATCTTCCTGATCGAACTCTGAACGGAAGCTAACTTATTTAAGCTCCTTGGGATCTTGACTGATGAAGGATTTACTAATGGCCTTTCCTCATTTCTTCTCGTTCTGAGGTACTAGCTTGATCTGCTCGTTCTTCATATCAAAATTTCTGATGTTTATGTTGGCCTAAGGATGGATTAAGGCTTTGAAGACATTTTTGAGGTTTTGTAGGTGAAATGATCTTAGGAAAAGTTGAAATATTTGTCGATTTATTTATATTTCACCCTTATTCCTTATAAGTTTAAAAGACCTGATCAAAAAGGAGAGAGTCTTGATGGAGAAGATGATTAACCAGAAAAGAGAGATATATTGACTTACATCAAACAAAGGCCCACTCTGGTTTGAAAGGAATTCCCTTATCTTTTGTTTTGTCTTACAAAACTTAATATTCGACAGATCCTTTCTAAATATAATCCAAAACGGCTACTTTTGTAAAGAATTAGACAATCTCACTGTATTCCCATTCTGTAGTCTAAACTTTCTGCTTCTTTTACATGAACTATTTCGCTTATTAAGGTCCTTGGGGACACTTTCAGTGAATTCTCTGCACTTGACTACTAAGCTTGTGTTCTTATTCTAAAAATCAACACTTGCTCAAGTACTTCTTGAGGGATATCTTTTAAAGGCATTCAAATCACCATTATTTTTACTTCTCTTTCTCATCCTGAACTTCTTTACTGGCTTATGAAGTTTTATCCGAGAATCAGCCTCTTCCAGCTCTGGAGATATTCGAACAACTTTGTTAAACGAGAAATTCTCCATTTCAGTCCTTGGCCGAACTGGGCTTCCAAGTGAGGAGTTTAAGGACTTATTATAACGCTTAAGCTTGCACAAATTCAAGCCCATCTTGTTGTTCTTCATACTCTTACGACTAGAAGAAACTTTCTTGGCTATTTTCTTTATCACCCTCGAAGAACTTTCCAACCTAGGGAATGAGAGTATAGAATCTGCTATAAGAGCCCATCCTTTCTTTGCAGTGCCGAATAAGATCTCAGGAGTTGCTCCTTCATATCCAAAATCAGGGACATATGGCTTTTTCAAATTTGAAATCCCATTTTGTAAAAATTGAGAATCTAGAGTAAAATAAAATTTGTACCATCCAGTTGATCTCTTTGTGCACAAAGTTCTCTAAAACTTGAGTTATTACTATAAAATGTTAGCTTACTTATTTAAAGAGGTTCCAAAGACGATAGTCTTTGAAGTCCTAATTCTTAAAATTTATCTTGCGCATCTGAACCTTCCATTTGCTGGTATTCCCTAAAAGTGGCATTAAGACTGGCCTAGTCTTACTTCTGCCAGCTTCTTTGAGGTTCTGCGAATTTTTGACCAATGATATGGTGTGATTGAAGTCCAAACTTGAGGTGTCACTTCCTGTTCTTTGAGAAATTTCCTAGAAATTGTTGAATAGCTTACTTCCATATTTCTAAATATTTTTTCAATCTATAAGAAACTAAACGGGGTTTTGGGGTTTTGGGGTTTTGGGG